ATCCTGAATTCTGGACTATTTTAATAGATGTGCTTGTGTGGTTCTTTGGTGCGGAAAGACCCTGAGAACTACCTTTGGTCACCCCAGGATTCTCTTTGTCCAGCATTCCTGACTCTTCGGGCTGCACAAGTGATTCCTGCCAAGCACAGAGAGACTAGAATTAGAAAGTCCGTGTTACACACATGCTGGGACATGGAGCCACAGACGCCTCAGTTTGCAATCCTACCCATCAAGGCTGGAGAGATGGCTCAGAGGTCAAGAACCCTGACTGCTCTTCCAGAGGACCTGGGTCCCGTTCCCAGCACTAACATGGGGTATTACAACTTTCTATTATGACAGTTCTAGGGGATCTGATACCCATTTCTTGCCTCTGTGGATATTGCACATACATGGTGCATATACATATATGCAGACCAACACTCATATATGTAAAGTGAAACAAATCTTGTTTAAAAAGAAAAGAAAAATGTAAGTCATCGGTCAACAGCTCTAACCTCTCAAACCCGGTATGTTACTTACCCGGGCCTCTGTATCTTTGTTTGCAAAATGGAGATAGCGATCTATTTCAGGAGACAATTGTGCTTAACCAGTGACAGGTGCACCCTGAGATGCCTTTCACAGATGACAAACAGCAGCACCAGCCTTGATATGGGTTCTTTTTCTCCAGGAAGAAACACTGCCTTCTCCTTCCTCCTCTCCTCCACACAATTAAGCGCAGGGCGCAGTGGTATGTAGACCAACCTCAGTGAAGGCGAATCTGCTGCTTGCTTGTGATGGTCCAGCATGGCCCAAGGTTTTGTTAGCTCAGACCCAGGACTGGGGACAAGAGCAGCAGAGCGAGATCCTGGGGCTTGAGGTGGAGGGAGAGGTAAACAGAGCTGTAGGATGAAAAGCAAACTGCGTTTAGAAAACAAACTCGGGCTAATGGCTGTAGGTGGTGTTAGTCATTCTGTTATGGAATGGAGGAATACATATGCATACTAATCAGAATTTATTTTGGCTGCTTCTTACTACACGTTGGGAAAAGGAAGAAGGATAAAAGATACTCTGCAAGTAGGAAGATCTCACTCTGCATGTCCGGGAAGCTGAGCCCTGGGCCTCTGCGCGTCAAGACACATGTGCTAACTTCCTACAGGCCTTGGGATAGACTGGGTTGGCTGCCTGAATGGGGTGCTAAGAATGAAGGACTAGGTTCCAACTCCCAATCCATGGACTGTGGAAGGAGACCCCGGAGCCTGTAACTGTGTTCCAAGATCTGTGTGTGGGTGCACATGTATATGCAGGAATGCATGACGTGTGCGCCTGTGTGTGCAGTGACGACCAGAGGGCTGCCCTGCTATCATTCTTCAGAAACTGTCTGCCCTTCCTTCCTTCCTTCCTTCCTTCCTTCCTTCCTTCCTTCCTTCCTTCCTTCCTTCCTCCCTCCCTCCCTCCCTCCCTCCCTCTCTCCCTCCCTTCCCTCCTCCTCCATCATCTCCTCCTCCTCTTCTCCTTCTCTAGACAGAGTCCGTCATTGGTCTGGAACTCTCCTAGTAGCCGGGGTTAGGCGCCAGCGAGCCCTGGGATCCACCCACCTTCACCTTCCCAACACTGTGATTACAAGCCTGTGCGCCTGTACCCTTGTGCTTCGCTTTTTAAAATGCAGATTCTGTGGATTGAACTCAAGCACTTTGCTGGCTGAGTCATCTCCCCAGCCCCTGTGTGCCAGGCTACCTATTGCTCCTCTGGCCTACAGTTATTCTTCAGGCCTATGAGCTAAGGGAAACTCAGAGGAGGAGCATCGGAGCCTCTGGGACTCCGGGCTTCACTCCTTCACAGAGCAAACTTGAGGCTTGACAGTCCCCACCCCGGGATGCCACAGCCCTGACATCTGTCCTCCTAGCTAACCTGAACCCCCACCACCACCACCACACACACACACACTGCATTTGGAGCCAACCTCATCTCTTTTTTTCTACTCAGGGAGCCATAGGGACACTCCTCCATTCTGGCATTCCCCAGGGACCATCAAGATCCAAGCCTGCCTCCCCTTTCAGCCTCCTCAGCAGCTGCCACTGGGATCTTGCTATGCCCCTGCCTCAGCTCCCTGGTCCTTGTGATCTTCTTTGAAAGACTTCAGACAAGACAGAGTGCTATGTAGAAGAGGGACATTGCTAGAGAATAGAGGAACGTATGCTCTCAGTGAGGAGTGTGGGCTGGGCTGTTGTGCTGATCTACATTTTAGGTAGGCTTTATATTATTTCTAAAGTCTCTGTAACAAAGCAACTTTTCCTGAGGGGCATTTCACCTTCAGGCGATTGACAGGTCAGTTTGGACTAACTCTCACTGAAGGGGGCAATGATAGATGTTTGTTCTTAATTAGAGAGTACCCTGGTGTGTGGTAAAATCATGAGGTTTTGGGCTTCTGAAGCCACATTTAGATAGTCACTTATTAGGGACCTTTGTTCAGGATGTCACTACTTCTCCCTGTTTCAGAGAAAGGACTAGGGTCTCATTCTTTGGATCAGCAATTCAAACCCTGCAGTAGCAGCCCAGGGAACGGTGCTTACAGCTCAGCCAGAGAGCCAAGGCTTGCAGACCACAGGGAGGAGCCCCAGGGAAAGCCAGGGCTGCTGGGAGCAGGTATGAGCCTGACCCTTCTCCTCATTGGGTTTGGAGTCACACTGAAGAATGGAAGCAGCTTCAATGTCCAGCACGAAGCACAAGTGACCCTCCACCACCCAGAAATGTGGAGGTGTGCTTGGACACGCCCAAAGACACCAGCCACCCGCCCATCTTCCAAGGATACTAGACATCGCTTCGACACCTTCAACTCCTTTAAGGGAAGAGACTTGCTGTGTCTAATACTCCTCACAAAGTCGCAGTGAACTTCTAGGGCACCCAAGTCCAAGCCCCAAAATCACTTTATGCTGAGGTGAGCACAACTGAGTTATCCTCGAAAGGACTCCTGATCCAGGCCTGTCACAGTAGCTGCATGCCTTTGCTGAGCGGGGGGTGGGGGGACAGAACGGGGGGGGGGCGGGGGGGACGGGGGACGGGGACACAGGGGACCTTCCTGTCAGGAGTGAAGTCCGCCTAGCTGTGCTCTGCCCCACACCCACACCCACCCCGCCCCACACCCACCTTCCTCCTGTATCATTTTCTTCCACACACCCCCCTCTAACTCTGTTTCTGTGCTGTTCTGTCTGGCCCTGGCCCTGCCAGCTCTTCCACACTCTCGTCCTCTCCTGGAGGAGCCCAGTTACAAGGAACCGAGCCTTCTGCCCCACCCCCTCAGGGGAATTCAGAGATTAGCTCAGGCTGTATGCCCTCTTTGCACCCCATCCATTTTACAAGTTAATCTGTTCAATATCACTTTTTAAATGATTATGTTCATTATAATAATAATTATTAATTATGGCACTGTGCAAAACGGGTAAGCAAAGAGGAAGACTCTGCAGCTGCTCATTTCCTGCCCCTTCCCCTTCTTCCGGTCACATTCTCTGTTTCTATGCCTTCCCTTCCTCTCCCTCCCTTCCTCTATCCTGCTCCTCTTGCCTCTCTTTTTTGGAGTCAACTTCCTCTTCTCCAGGGCCAGCGCACCCCTACACCTTGCTCTGCATCCTAACTGTGCCCTTTCCCTCTCAGGCTCCCCAGAATCTTTACAGGGAAGGGCTGGTTCTCCAGGGTCTTTGTGGATTGCTAATTCCAGTTTCCTGAAATGCACCTGGGGGGGGGGTGTCCTGCACAGGAGACCTACCTGGGCTGCCTGCACCTCAGTAGGTATGCACCCAACTAGGTACCCAGATAGCAAGAGACTGGGTCTTTCGTACAGCTGTGTCCAGCTGAACCAATGTTGGACCACAGAGACACATCCACATGCCACATGTGCCTCCCTGTGGGTAAGCGGGACAGGTGCACGGAACAAGTGAGCCATGAGGAGAGCAGAGATGAACTGAGGCATGCCCTCTGCCCTTGGTGTTAGCATCTGGAGCAACAACGGGGACTCTCTAGTCCACTACCTCCACAGGGAAAGGTACATGTTGCACCCCTCTTCAGAGCCCAGAGAGCCATCACCTCGTCTTATCTTCCCTAGCAACTAGCGGCTAATAGCCCCCAAGCCTCTGATGCGCGAGCCTTGTGATTCTAAGCCTACAGCCGTTCCAGAGAGAAGACTCCACTACCTACCACGTGCCTTAGAAATTCTGCTTTAATCTGGGGCCTCAGTTTCTTGCTATGTCACGTGTGTTGGGGCTGGCGAAGGAGGAGGACGTGCTGGGCGGTCCAACAAGCGCTTCCAGGTACCGTTCTTCTGGACAGTCTTGGAATGTTCAGTGAAAGTCTGTTGTGTGTGCATACACCCAGCGCGGGTTGCCGTGGATCCCTGGCTAAAGTGCCCCAGCTGGATCCTGAGTGGGCGCGATCCTCCCATCGCCACCCCCACCCGCAGCCCCGGGCCAGCGTGGTCGGGTTTTCCTCCGGCAGACCGCAGGCTGGTGGCTGTGTGCAAGGCGCTCTCCGCACGAGAGGCGGCAGCACCGCCTCAACTTGGCCGCGGGCATCGCCGTGCACAGGGGCTGCCGTGTCACTGCGCCGAGAATCGAGCCGGTACTCCAAGTTCCCGGAGCTTGTGGCCCTGTCGGGCTGCAGATCCAGCCAATTTACCTAGCACCAACGCTGTCAGACCACGGATTCCCCGGGTGTGGGTCCGTGCTGAAGCCTGTGCAGGGGTCCGGGGTCCGGACCTGCTGCAGCTCCGAGGGCGGCCACTGGGGGCTGCAGTGCCAGAGAGCCCGGCAGGGACAGAGCGCTCTGCCGCCCGGTCCTGGGGCGCCTTGGGTCTCTAAGGCTGTCTGCACCGCTGGCCGCAGCTGCCTGCACAGCCCCCGCAGCATCCTCCCCGATCCGTGTGTGTGTGTGTGTGTGTGTGTGTGTGTGTGTGTGTGTGTGTGTGTG